GTGTGTGTGTGTGTGTGTGTGTGTGTGTGTGTGTGTGAAAGAGTGCAGGGAAGACAAAATGACTCAGCTGAGCATGGGGATATGAGTGTAGGAGGCAGAAGGAAAAGTATGAGAGGGGGGGATTAGTGAACAGCTGTGCATTTTTTTTTTGTATATTTTTATGTGTGAGCCTGCGCTCTCAGAATACCCACATGCATTACTAAATTACACGCCCTCAATCAGATGTAGCTACTTCCACCTTCCTTTCTGCAACCAGCCGCAGTTATGAAGGCCTCTGTCATAGCCGGGGCCAGAAAAGTATCAGAATATGACAAAGAAGAACATATTTTGTGGATGATATGTTCTGTGGAGAACTTGTCCCAGAGCTGCCATCAAATGAAACAAGACCATCTACCWTATTACGTTAGTCATTTCACGGTATGGAGGCTTTATGTAACAGGGAATTCCATCCACATAAAGAAATGGAAAATTTGTCTTAATTCAGCTGTGTGTGCAGACTGCATTCGCTCTGTGCAGGATATTACACCGGCTTCTGCACAGTTTGTTGTATGCAACTTCGATTCTGAAAAATCGGGACGTTGCAAAAAACGTAAACAAGAACAAATAGGATTTTGTTCATCTGTCGTGAGCTTCCTTTGCCAGTTTTTTCTGTTCACTGCAGCCGCCCCTTTGCTCGGACTTTAGCGGTCGTAGACCAGTGTTTGTCCTTTGTAGGAGAACAGATAAAGTGCCGTGAGTCTGCGGTGAGTTTGTGCTGTACTTGCAGCTTATGGCTTCCATAATTACATGGTGCGGGTCTAACATAAGACTTTCCTGAGCTTCTGCGCCAAAACGGAGAATGTAGCTCGCTGCCACAAAACTGCAAGTGGTTGGAGGTTCAACTATGTTTACCTGGCAAGCAGAAGAAAACTCGGGGGAATAGCATGAACTTAAACACTCGCAGCTCATCAGCTGCTATTGCTTTTTGTTTAAATACCAGTTCTGTCATCATACCTGGTCCTTCTAAGACAATGATTTTACTGTTTGTTTTTTGCCAATAGACAAAGATGGAGGACGTTTTTGCCCATGTCTTTACATGTGYACATGTATCCACTGAGCCAATTTTAAATGAAGCTTGAACTAAAGTAATTGTTGGATGCACATCTGCTTGGACTAACATTGGCACTCAATCCAATTCAAGATRACTGCTAAGTCCAGCTGACCTAAAAACAAAAGCCACAAAAAATGGCTACAGGTCAGTCAATTTTACAGATATTGATTGTAAAATTTTAGGGTTTATTCACAACAGTCCAGTTTAGTCTGCTTTAGCCAAACTCTAGTTCTGTGAACTCTGTGAGTGTGTAAAAGAACTCTACAAACTTGGGATGAAGTGAACTCTGGTGCAGTTCAAATGTGAACAACCACTCCAAAAGCAGGAAGCCAATTTACAGTGCAGGGCATTCTGAGCATTAATAGAAATACACTCATATACGACGTCTGTATAAGGTGGACATCACTTTTATGAAGTTGAATACGCCCCTTCTCAGTGCACGCTGCCTCATATGGAGCCATCATAGCCACCATGTGTGAAAAACCCATTCTCCATGTTCCGCCTCATCTATTACTTATGGAGAAGTGTGTTCGGTAAATGACCAAAAACAAAATAGAAATCCTACAATTTCTAAAATCTGATGTCACTCCATGTTTGTTTCCATTTCRTGAAGAAGGAAGTTTCACTCAATGTCTTGTTCGGAGGTTTACGTGTCGTTTTCAYTTAGTGGTTCTTGGTGCAGCACCTCCACAGGCGAGGGGGTGAACAGGTTACTCACAGAGTTTGGTTTGTTTGACACAGTGCAGTGTGAGCGTAAACCAGCTGAAAATGTAAACAAATGTTGCAATTTTCGTCCCCAATCAAACCGACTCTACTGGACAGAAGTAGGGCTGCAACAACGAATCGATAAAATTGATAAAAATCGATTATTAAAAGCGTTGGCAATGAATTTCATTATCGATTCGTTGTGCCATGTGATTTATGCGTCCCTCGCCGTGTCGCGGAGCCGATTACGTCACCCGGAGAGCTTTGTCAATGCTGGCTGACCTAAAGTTTAGGAAGAAAAAAAAACTCTACCTGTAAAGATCCACCCTCTCTGACTCTCGAGTGAAAAGTAGAGACTCCGA